ACCATGGCGTTATATGTAGGAAATCTAACCTTCATCTTTTTGATTAGCTTTGGCTGCTTGCGTTTGGAGTCGCTCTTGCGCCAAACGCTGATACTCCGTCTTGTCCCATTTTCGTCGATGGTCATCTGGTCGCATTGACATCTTTGAATATTTTCCAAATTGGCTTTTTTTATTTACAAAGCAAAACTCCAAAATTTATCACAAATGAAGAGAATTGTAAACAGACTCAACAATTTTCCTTCCATCCACTTTTACAATCCACAAACAAGGTTTCGGCTGAAACTATTTAGTACTAATACCCCGTCTACAATGGAAAGTTTAGCAATGTTAGGTTAATAATAAATTTATAAGTTAGCTCTGGGAATCATGTTATAATTGGAAGTAGTTGTTGATCAAACGGCAAATAATTCATTTATTGCTAAAGTTTTTGTTCTTGGACCGCCAACCGCCGCCTAAATCGATTTGTCCATCAATCGTAAAGTTTTAGGTAGTTTTTGCGCGTGGAGCTGCAACCCATACTTATTGGTCGTTATTAAATGCGACCCTGTTGAACTTAGTAATGCGCTAGCATCGCGCTAAAAATAATTAATAAAGAGGAGGTAAAAAGCAAAGTACGAGTATTAAGAGACTCATATATGTGCATACAAACATAAGTCGAATATTTGTATAAACAAAAACAATTTTTTGTTAATTTTTCTTTCAAGTTAAGGTAGAGAGAAAAGCTGCAATTATCCATTTTCATTAGGTGTTACGGAATCTTGGATTTACTCGTCTTTGAAAGAACTACAAATTGACAATAAATTGCCGCAACAATTGGAAGTATTCTTTAGCGTTCGTAAATAATGGGTTGTGCTGAAAGTAAAGATGGAGATGAGCCACAAGGGAACCGGCCTAAGTACCGGACATGTACTGATCCATTTTGGCTTGCAATTTTTATAATCTTTTGGCTATTTTTGGTAAGTAATACCTTCAAATAATTGCATGCTAATTACGAGCGCCAGCTTTTGGGTAGATCCAAAAGTGAAAGTGCTTCAAGTATCGTTTATTAACTAATTTTTTTCTGTTTTATTAAAAATGTATGTACATACATACATACACACGTATGTATATAAATGCATGCATACGCTGAGCGCAGACGATGGCGTCATTGTAGTAGTTCATATGGAATGCCCACAGGTATATAATAAGTACATACTACGTATGTGGGTATGTAGATTCACTTTGCATTGTATGAATTTCATTTCTTAGCATTATTTATAAACACACATTCATACATTCATATGTAGTATGAAATAAAATTAGAAGTATACATGCTTTGTAGTTATAAAAAAAAAAGAAACATAATAATTTTAGTATGCAATTCCCTGCTCACATTCTTCAAGTGAAGGCACCATTCGCTCACTCGGGATTTAAATGTGGATTAGTTACTCATAAATGTTAACGCTGCTCCAATGTAGTACATATGTATGTATGTATGCATGGACATATACCCTTGTGGTCAGCTAATTAAGCTAATTTACTTTTTGACCAGTTTCGGCCATTTTACAACGCTTTTATCAACTTGCAATGTTTTTTTTTACTATTTAATGTCTATAATATTTTTTTTTATAAAAGTCGTAACACATTACATAACCAGCACCACATTATTCAACATTTAAACTTCGTATATACAAAAATTATAAAAATTCAACGAATTTAAAATTTTTATTCAGAATTTTTAGAATACTGCCGAAAATTCTGTTTCCCTAGGAAAGGAATCCCTAGTATTATGTGTACCGTTGTACAAAATCATATGTCTAACAAAAGCAATGTAAATCCAAATTTCTCATTTAGTACAAAAATTAGAAAAATTCCAAAAAGTTACACAGCAACAATATTATAGTTTGAAGTGTACAAAATACCGTTAATTTTTTGTTGCTGATGGCGCCACGCATTTTCTTCTGCAAAAAATTACCAAAAATCAACACGAACTTTTAGCCTATTGAAACTTGCACATTATTATTAATAAGCTACAAAACTGCCTACCTGGAATTTTTCTAAGAATTATGAATATGAAGTTTGTTGTGAATTTTTTTAATTTCTCTACAAAGTTTGAAATGTGGATTTATATGGTGTTGAAATATTATATAATTAACTAGACTTTAACAAAAAACTAATAAACATTAAACAATCGAAAGGAAAATAGTCAAAACGGGCCAAGATGTCATGCCTTTTTTATGTTTTCATGAACACTGTGTATTAAAAAATTTAAGCAGCAAAAAAGTATAAATGCAGTATTTTGGAAAAAACCACAGTATCCATTTTTGGAATCCAAAAAAAAAAGTATTATACTGCCAAAAAAAAAGTATAGATACGAGCGTTAGGTATGCCGTATGGCCATTAAATTTTAGTAGCTTGTAGGAAATCGCGTTAGTTTTTAATGATTTTTTATTTTTTGCGTGATGTGTTAGACTTATACAAAAAAATATAAACATTCAATAAACAAAAGAAAAATAGCCAAAATTGGTCAAAATGTAACGTAACTTAATCAGCTGAGCACAAGTGTATGAACAAATGCGTATGTATGTATGTTAAAGCAGTAAAAGTGAAAAGATGGCACATCATGATACTAGAAACATGCATATTATGTACATTCATACATACCCTGTGTGTACGTATGGAAATATGTATATACAATGATTGGGGTGATTCAGAAAAAAAAATTTTCTCGGAACCATACTCAAAAGTTTTGTTTAGACGCCAAAATAAGTCTCAGAAAATTTGATAACAATGTCCGCATCGCACTTTTCGATTTCCCATAGGAGTAACATAGGAAAAATGTTTTTTTTACTTTATATTTAACGAACGATATATTGTACTGTAAAGGATGACGAAAAGGGTGATTTATTTTGGAACGTATTTCCGTCATCCCTTGTCAAGTTTGGTTTGTGGTGAAAAAGGTCTGAAGTTATTTGCGAGGTCAAAGACGAATTAACTATTCTTTCGAATTTGACCTCGAATAACCGTTGATCGTGTTGACTTATCGAAAAATTTCAATTCTCTACAAAAATACTCCAATACCTTTACAGTACAACTTATCGTTCGTTAAATATAAAAAACATAAGTAAAAAAAAAATATTCTGTGTTATTCTTATGGGAAATCGAAAAGTGCGATGCGGACATTATTTTGGCGTCTAAACGAAACTTTTGAGCAATGGTCTGAGGAAAAAATACAATAAATTTTATTCTGAATCACCCTAATGTACATATGGGTATTCTCCAATCTGGTCTTACGTGACGCTCGCATGACAAAATGTTAAAAAAAAATTGAAAAAGTCAAAATTTTAAAAAGGTTTTTCTAGATTTGCATAGCAATTAAATGTCCCCTTATTCAGTAAAAAAAAAATTGCATCTGTTGTTAGTGGCGATTTAAAGATATTAGTAAACATACGCGCTGGCGTTACGTTACAAAAAACAGAAGTGGATTTTGATATGGCTTACAAAATTGCAAAACATTGCGAAATGGGCAAGACTTTTTACATACAAGTTTTTGTAGTAATATTAGAAATGTTTATGCTTAATTTTCTAAGTTTTTAAATGTATAAATCTTTTCTGCTTTATGTTTAATCTGCTGAAGTATCTGACGTGACGTTACCTTGCGGTACGTTACTAAAGATATCAATTTAAAAAGTTTTGTTAATAGTGTTCATGATAGAATCTTTAACGGGAAGAAACGTACTACTTTTGACATCAGCGTCACCAGCGGTTTAATTGTTTGCAAATCTAGGCTTTATTACGTTTCAACTAAACATGCCAAATGTGTAACAAATCAGAGCATAAATATGGTTTCTCAAAATATCTCGACCCTGGCGCCATCTAAAGAGACCATTTTCAGTAAAAATGGATCTGCTTACATAAGCAATATATATTAAAAAGAAGCCGCCAAATTGGCCTATAAATAAGTTAGATACATATAGGGCTTTTATTTTTTTTTTTTACACGGTAGACTTTTCGCAGGAATCGCACATTCATATTGTACATTCGCATTTATTACTTCTGATCACGATATCACAGTACATTAAAGCAAACATTTGAATGGGTCATGTTAATTAGGATAATGAAAGACACTTCTGATACATACATACATATGTACATATGTACCACCTTTAAAATAAAATTTAAAAAATATATGTAAATGCTTTTAACAATGAATTCATATTCAACTCTAAAAGCGCATTTTGGCTGAAATTAAAATTGTAAATAACCATAAAAGTTATATATGTCGATTGTTTGACAACGATTTTGCGTTTATATACATACATACATACGTACATAGCATGTTTGTGCATGCATTACCTAATATGTACTTTCTAACGCCGTTGTTTTATCCAACAAACTAGGCCGTTACTGTGGAAATATTCTTGCAATGTATATATGTATTTACAAATGCAAGTATGTAAAAAAGTGGAAATTACATATCGACGGCTGAGTTGTAGATTTACCTATCTCAGCAGCCGGTCCGAAAATGCCCTACTCAGCTCAGACATTTTTTTCAAAAACGCCCTATCTCAGAATTTGATTGAAGAATGCCCTATTTCAGAATT